TATTTTCTGCCTATAAAAAGCAATGACAAGTTAAATATTTTTAAATTCTGCGTACACTTTTATGACATAACAATTAAGTGTAATTTAAATTCGTTCACTATTTTTATGTTTGTAAAGACTATCTATATATTTGAAGTTACGTATAACATGGTAACGTGACATAATTCTTGTTATAGAAAACGTGGGATATTATTTAACATAAAGTACATATAGTTATCAATCATGGTTTTCCTATTACGAAGTTGCATTTTAAGCGGAAAAAAATTATTCACACAAGAAGTTGTAACATTCAAACATCTTGTTACACATCCTACATACAACAATATTTTAAAGGTTAGAAATTTTTCTTCGAATTTATAAAAGAATGTGATTACATGTATCATAAATTTAAAAAGATTGTTTTAACTAGTTTTTCACAGTATGTATGTATTTGTAGTATGTTTCTTCTTTGTCTCTTGTTTTGTAGTATCTATGTTAAGTTTAAAGATATATACATTTTTCTTAGAGAAAGTAATAAAGAATTATGTTTTTTGTTACTGCAGAAATATGTACCACTTTTGCAAGTAAAACATTTCTCCACCGAAAAAAATGAAAAAACTGAAAGAGAAGTAATATACCATGGAATTTTACGGCCACGAATTCGTAATGTTAAAATAGTGTCTGTTTTTTCTTCAGTTCTATCAGTCATAGTACAACCTTTAATTTTTTTAAAAGCTATTGACACTGATAACGTATTAAGCATAGGAATATCATTTGCAATTGTGAATTTATTTATTATATCTTCTCCAATATTGATATATATGTTCACAAAGAGGTATGTGATTAAGTTGGAGTATTGCCCCCAAAAACAAAATTATGTTGCTCATTTATATGGTTTTTTCTTGAATAAAAAAGAGGTATTTATATCTCTTTAAAATTATTCTATATTTATTTATTTATACTATTCACATAGTATAATTACATATATATATTTCAGATAACATTTACTCCAGCTGATGTAAAGGTAAATGATAATAAAAATGGAGCTTTCACAACCTGTCATGTGAAAAACATTCCAGTATTTTTCGACGAAAATCAGTTTTTAGATGCCAAGCACTTTTACATTATCATGGGATATAAAAAGCCATCAGATTTTATACTGAAGAAAATTAATGTAACTCCAATCAATCAATTGCCAATTATCAACACGAGTCACCAGTTAGAAAGTAGAATTAAGAAAAATAACTAATTTAACATTTGTGTAGTTTCATTTATTACGCGGCCGTTTAATCTAAAGTTTTTATACATTATTTAAAAGTACTATGTAAGTTGCTAGGTACAAAATATATGTACAATACATTATTACACAGAGATTATATACTGAAAAATACAGTACCAAATTACTAAAGCATGAAGTAAATTAATTTTTTTAATTTCTTCTTTTAGTTATTGAAATTGTAAGGAGTATTACAAATCTCTAGTCGCCATTTATAATTTTCTTTGTTCATGCCTTCAATTGTATAATCCGCGAATAAAATGCGTTACAAATAAAAATAATTTTATATCCAGTAATTAAATTTTGAAAAGCTAATAAAAGTATAAATACAACGTGGTAACGTAATTAGAGTGTCAAATGTTTTTTAAATATAGTCTCAAAGTATAACAATAGTTTTAAGAGTAATACATTGTAATTTGGTAATCGTGCAAGAATGGCGAATACGTTATTAAAAAGATCACAGATTGTAATCATACTCTTTGAGTTCATTTCAAAGGTATGAGCAAAACAGTTATGCCGTATCAATTGTGCAATCACTGTACACTAAGCTGGGAGTAAATCAAAATCGTCCGAAACATGTACCATTGGGACATGAATATCTTCTATCTGTGGTGTTGCTTTAAATTCACATAATCCAACTTCCTTCAGTTTCCATTCCCAATCCATTCTTTGTACAGCATGCAATGATTCAGCCTCATTGTGATGCCTGAGTAACATTGCTTCCTAAAATAATATTTTTGTTTAATACTTTATGTATCACGTTATTGTAAACTGATACGTGTAAAGAGATTTGTTAATTGGTTTTCACATAATGTAACTTAATTTAACCCGAATAATCAAAGACAATACACGGACGTACAAATATCTGTATAAAAATTTAGATATAAACATAGAACCACTACAATTTTTACCTTAATTTTTTCCCACTTGTCATCTACATCTTGTAACCAACTCAAAAATAATCTGCCATTATATCTGCTCCTTGCGTTTCTATCTTTCTCTTCTTGTTCTGGAGTAATGACATTATAAACCTCTTCATCCTTTAATATTGTACAAACAGAAAAAGGGAGGGATTGATTGGCAAGAGCTCTAGCAGCCCTACCATGTACTCTAAGTATTTCTTGTTCCACCGAAAGAACTAGTTTTTCTTTTTCAACAACGTGCTGCATCCTAAGACGGTATCTCTCTTTCTCTTGTTCAATATACAAGTCCTTCATAGCGCCTTGTAATCCGACCGGAGGATTAACATTCGGTTCTTTATTCGCATTTCCAGCTAATACATATGTACAACGATTCATTAAATAATCCTTGAAACCCTGAGGCGGTTTTGGTTGAACCGGAAAAAGGCCTTTTCTTCTTCGTTCAATCTAAAAGAGTGAAAATAACAATCTACCTGCAATATCTCTCGTAAACAACTTCTCGTATGCATTAATAATATTAAATATATAAACCTGTTTTCTAATGTTTAAAAACAGCTGATAACAATTAGTGATCGGTTGATCGTGCGGATGAACTTCTGGACCTGTATTCGTCGCTTCGGATGCTTCATTGGAGGCAGCTGTAGCAGCTTGTTGTGCTTCTTTATTGGGTTTCATTTTTCTCTTTCTGGGATGAAGTTCAACAGGCGGTGCTGGAGTGCCCGCGTTCGTCGTTGTCGATGAGGTAGTTGTAGAAATGTTCTCTGAATTTTCCGTCCCGTTATCTTTCTGACATTTTCCACTAATTTCGTTGTTCTTTTCTGATTTCTCTGCCATGACGTTTGTCTTTGAAACGGTGTTATTATTCGAGACTTCTGTCGAGGTACTCTTGCTCAATTCAGAACCAGTTGTTTCAGGCGTTGGTGAGTGATGCCGTTGTTGTGGAGACGAATTATTGGAACGATCCGTTGAAGCAGCAACTGGTAAAGGAGATGAATTCGAATAATTCCCATTACCCGCAGTGGCAGAATTTTCCTTCAGGGTGGCTGAACCGTTGCTGCCATTACCAGATCTATGTGAACTTCTGAGCACTCTCTGATGATGTGTCGATCTTTCTTCACCATGTAGAGCACCGCTGAAATCCTTTTTATCTTCATTTTTAGTGCTATTTCCACTCTCCGTAGGACTCGTTGTACCACTGTTGGACTGATTCTGATCTTTATCCGTGGAATCATTACTATTAGAGCTAGCGACTACATAGGGCAACTGATGACTCCTGTTTGATGTGCTTTTTCCGTTTCTATTACCTTGCTCTTGCTCGGATGTGGTACTTTGTGGAATAACTATTTTTAAGGGTGGTACTTTAGGAGCTGAATTAGAATCCGAACCCTTCGATCGATCGTCTTCGCCGTCGGATTCAGGAGGCGCTGGTGTGTTTGTTTTACTGTTAGTGGTAGAACCAGGAGGATTCGAAGGTTTGGGACTGCTCGCCATTGAAGTACTTGGACTTTTTCTATCTGCATTGATCGAAGTTGTATTTTGATTACTTTTACCAGAAGTTGTTCCAGATCCCTGTTTACCCGATTTTGTACACTGCAGAAAAAAGAACACAGAACCATTAATCTCCTTAATTGATTTGATGTAACTACAAGGTATCGTCAAGTTGGTGGTAAAATCTAAAAGAAGGATAATCCTACGTGAAATAATAAGTCGACAAATGTGAAGTGTTATTTTTTTGTATGAAATTTCATCCTCGAATAAATCAATGGCAAATATTTATTAAGTTTACAAAAGTGTTAACACATAAGGTATGGTTACATTGGTAAAAACTCGAGAATTATTTCCACCAATTTTTATGTTATCCAAAAACAATTCGTTATCTAACTTGATGTAAGTTACGCTTTTGATCTATTCTTTAATGTAAAATCATCCTCTTTCAAGTTATTCCACCAGTACGATCACAACATTCCTACATTAAACTACAATAAACAAACCTTTTCTCCTGTGTTGGCAGCATTTCTACCAGTACTCTGTCTTCCCGTGGTGGTGCCTTTCAAATTTTCTTTCACAGGCTCCGAGTCTTTCCGTTTCTTCCGGCGATTCTCTTCGTCCTGTTCCTCTGTATTGTCGCTTTCAAACGCGCGTTTAGACGAAGGCGACGCTGAAACCGCAGGGGCATCGTCGGTAGTACTTGATGTGGTGGTTGTTTCACCGGAAGATGTTGTTGCACTACCAGCGGTGGACACGTTGTTACCACCACCCTGACCACCCTGACCGCCGGCAGACTTACTGCCATCTTTGTCTTTCTCGGGATTAGGATTCGGCGATGAGCTCGCACCTCTGACCGGTGTCGGCTCCTTTGAACTTTTGAACTCGTACACATCGCCACTGTCACCAGTAGACGATGTGTTCCCAGAGGCACTAGAGCCCGAGGCGGCATTCACGGTCCCTGACGAGACGTTTGACGACGTCTTCGACGAAGTTTCCATTTGACCTTGGTTCTGCAAACATTGTTCGTTTACTTAAAAAATGATACAATTTGACACATACGTATGACGTAACGAACACGTTACGAATCGTGTATACACACTACTGATAAAAAATTTGGAAGCACTTTTCGAGACTTTTACGTTCTTTGTTATAACATAAATTACACGGTAACAGTATTAAATAAGGGGTAATTTAGTTATATAAATTATTCATTAAATCAACTATTTTACGATAAAAGTTACGTTTCCATTGATATGTATGCATGTGTATAACCGTATTGCAAATTTCTAACATTCTTCGGAAGAATTTTTTTAAATAATCAGATGTTAATGTACGCTAAGCTTTTTATAAATATTTTTTAAATTGCATTTTATTCTCCCACATAGTTTAAAATCAACTATATATTTATTGTCCTTCAAGAATTTATTACCAATAGCACCTCCTAAGCATAGGAGGTAATAAAGTTAAGTAACACATCATTGCCTTAACTACATATCATGTAAAATGAACCATAAATGACCATTTTTCTTATTCTTTTTGGCGGCCTATCATTTAAGAACCCATAAATGCTTCCAAAGTGTTTGTCAGTGCTATATACTCGTATCACAAATAATACAAGTATTTTCTTGTTTATTCTTACATTATCATGTATCGTTTGTAGAGTGCTTTACACATAACACTTATCGTCATGCTTTACAATAGTGACCTCGCCACCGTCTACTAATTGACGCGCACCATTAGAACACTTACTATTCTTACAAACACATACCTAACCGATGATAAAGCGAATTCATATTAATTTTCAGCGAGACCGTAAGAACTATAGTCATCGTAGTTAATAGTTAACAATACAATCATTAAAAAGTTGGTAAATTTTTTTTTTTTTTTTTTTTTTTTACAAACAACTCTATTCCATTAAGCACTTTTCTGCAGTGTATATTACCGTGATTTCTCGAATCGCTCTGTCGCTTGTAATCTAATAGTTGTCCCTCGATACTCTCGATTCTCGAAAGCATCTCTCGTTAGTGAATCAGAACGATTCGAGCGTTCAAAATCGCGCGCTCACTCAAGGTGGATTTCCATCGAGCAACCTATCACATACCGATGATGTATATAGCGTGTTTCTGAATTGTGAATAGAAATTTAACCAGGTAAAAGAAAACATTAAAAAAAAAAAAAACTAAACCCATTTTAATAAATAGAAATTAATAACTTAATTTTTGAAGTTATTCGATTCTTTAGTTTAATTGCCCTATATGTGTCTGTACATACCATAAAATAACTAATAATAAAAGAAACTTGAAGCAAATGTTCAAATTATTGGCCGTGACATAACTTAACTACTAAATACACGGAGCCATTTTAAATAACAGAAAGGTTAAGGAATTTACAATCCTTTGAGAAAATAATTAAAAATAATGAAATATTTTTTTATAGCTATAATTACTACACTGATATTTTTATCTTATAAAGTGTTTAAAATAAATTATGTTTCATGAATAAATATTTTATGCATATCGTACAACTTATACTGAAAATTCAAACAAATCCAAAATTTTATGCGACTAAATTAATTACTTCATTATCTCCTAGTATTACCAAATGGATACGAGTGAGAATAAACCTTAAACGTTTTCCAAGTGCCAAAATGTTTTTATGAATTACTTATTTGTCATTTAATATACAGGAATAAACAAACAAATACTTTTCTACAGCTGCTGAATAATTTGAAAATGAAAGGGTTACATCTCTGCTTATAGTTCAGAAACAGCCCATACACATGTGACGGTACCTCCTACACTCTACCACCAGAGGGATTAACTGGCGAAACATAAACCTTTCTCACAAGTCCCCCCACCCCTCTATCATTTTCCTCCTTCCTCAAACCTTCCACAACATAAGATTCATGCACATATGTATGTGTATACCTGTGCGTTCATGCCGCCCTGACGGGAGTTAGTAGCGCCCCCTCCTTTCTTTTCATCCCTCGCTACTCGCACCTGGTTGAGTCGAAGCGTCACCCTCGGCGAGCTTCCAGACTGCCCGGTTCCCGATCTATCGACTGTGGAGAACAAAACGCCGGTTAATTGCGGGAACAACCACGAGAATGCCAGGGGAACGAGTTTCCACGAAACCAGTACTACTCCTCTGGCACCGAGGGAGAGAAACACGGAGGACGGTCGAAGGAATCGAGAAGAGAGAAGGTAGCCAGTGGGAGGAGGAGGTGGAAGGTAGAGGGGGAGGGGGACAGGAGTATTCGAAGAGGGAAGGACAAGGATAGTGTGTAAGAGTTTCAAGGGGAATTGAGCCGCTGCTTGCGATCATCGGAGGATACGGCCGTTAATCACGGGGGCCCCCGGGAGAAACGAGTTCCCCGAGAAGAGTGGGAGATAGAGGGGGGCTTCCCGATCCGCGATCGATTCATTAGTGGCCTTTTACCAGACGATCGCGTTACAGGAAGAAGTGCTATTAAACTCTTTATTCGCGTCGTTGCAGTGCGCCGCGCGACCAGCGCGGTAAGTGGAGCTTACCGGCCGTTGGAATCGAGTCTCGATCCCTCAAGCGCGAGTGTCTTACTTTTGGGTTTAACCATGCATACCACTGTTACAAGGGAACTGCGTTCCTCTGTATACTGTACATCGAATAAACCTCTATTTTGCAACGTCGAATTCAGATTATCTTCCTTTTAACTTTTATAGATCTGTTTCATCTATTTTTCATTACAGTATACCGGATACTTATGCTTTATATTTTAGTTATGTAAAATAACATATTTTGATTTGTTAGTTCTTATAATATTTATGTCTACGTTAAATTCTGATAATTTATTTTGCATTTCACAATGTATATCATAAATTTACTAGCTGTAGATCAATTTTAACCGATCAGATTCCTATCACCATTCCGTTAAAGAGGTTAAGACGAATATATTCGACGCCACGATTAACAGGAAAACGTAAACGGAATACTAAACGAAATACTACGGTGTACGTGACAAGCGTGCGTTCATTAGAGGCACGAAAGGATCCACCGGGGCGAGATACAATTACGGCACGCCGCGTATTCGTGTCAGAGTATATTTTAACGGGCAAGATTGGCCCGCGAAATTCACTCGAACCGAGCAAGAAAACTTATCTCAATGGCGAGGCAATAATATCGGGGCTTGTCCCGGCGATTTCACGGAACGCTTGTTTCGAGAAATTCTAGGATACCGGTGGAACGTTGAAAGCGAGGCTGACGCAACCTCTGCACGATCAATATGTAATTGAATCTACGAGTTAACGCGACGTCCCAATATAATTTCGGTATTCGGATCAATACACCGGCCAAAATATTATATACACATATTGTGCCAACATCGTTTCCACAAAGATCCTTTGCGGTAAATAACGCTGCACTTTTATTAAGATTTCTTTTGGTTGGTCATTGATCGTGACTCCCCCCACTTACGACCGCCATTACCCCTCCCCCCACTCGCTCTGTTGGAAGAGGGAATTGTGCCAATGAAACTTGGCGCTCGTGAATAGTGTATCCCAAAATACATCAACTCCGCTAGTCAATGAATTCGTGGCTGTTCGCCACTTTTACGACATTAACGATTCACGGAAATAATGGCCCTCCGTGTGCGGAGTCAATGCTTTCTAATTAGTTTAGGATATTTCGTTTAGCTTGATTGCATCGCTTTAGAATCGTGTTTTGATATCCTTATTGAATATTCCAATAAATTAACAATGGGCATATACATATATAATCCGTGTAATTGTTTATGTAGAATAAAAATGTAAATGTGAGGTTAAGAAAACAATTTGCTTTTAAAACATTTTACATATAAAAAATAAACTAGTACACGATATTTATTTTCAACCAACCAATAATAAAGGATAGTAAAATTAATATATTGATCGTATACTAATTCTTAAATGAATGGTTAAAAATAAACCCGAGAACATTCTATCTTAGACGAGAAAACAATACAATACATTCTGTCATTGCAATTAGAGAACAGTTGTTCTCGAAACGCAACACAGGCCTAATGACGTTTCAAATTAATCGATGTTCTTCCCTCTCTAATCGTTTGAACAAAAGGTACGTTTGTCGCTAGTGTCGCAGTACGCAAAAGTGCACGTAGTGCAATTGTACCGTCTGGAAAGAGAGTATGTACATATTTGTGGAACATTCTTACCGCGAAATGATGATATCAAATATCATGGTGTATTCACATACGTGCTTCTCTGAATACAACGTATATTATTTCGTGATGTGTAATATCCCGCGCCCTCCCACTTCCTGCACAATATCTGCCTTGAATTACCGATGCGTTAAAAAAATTATCGAGTACCAGCACGATTTATCGGACGCGTCATGCTAATCGAGATAATTGCGTTTCACAATTCACCAAATATTACGCAAATATTAACCCGCGAGCGGCAATTATACGAAAATTCTCTGCGAAATACCTTAAACGAATAATCGACCGCTGACTAATTCAACGTTAACATTTAACTAGATCAAATATTGAAGATCGATAAGATAGTTGAAAACGTACAATTTCAAAGGATACGGATGAACCATTTTATTTCGTTCGAAGATATTTCGCGGGAATATCGTCGTTTCTCCTTCTTCGTTTCGTTCCTGACCTTGCAAAACATGGACCGAGAGAGCGAGTTTTTAGCCGGCCAGTAAAGATACCGTAGACTTTTTGACCGATAGCGAGGCGCGCTTTATCGAATACTGTTTGCGCGAGAAGTTCATTAACTTGCTGCGATAAAGGTACTTATACGACCAATGACATAAACTGACACATGACAATTGCTTATTAGCATCATGTTACACGAATCATTCTTTTGAAATTAAATGTTAAGCGTGAAAATGTGTCGCGTAAATTTACTTTTCTTTATCTTTCAAATAAAAAAAAATTTACCTAAAATTTGCATAAAAATTCGATTAGTAGTTTTTAATCGTTGAAAAAATACGAATTCACGGCTGAAGTCAATTTCTCCACCAACGTTCCGTAATGACCTATCGGTAAGTGAAGTACCGATTCGAACATAGTTATCGATCAGCACAGTGACGAAATATGTTACAACGAGAATCAAGGTCAGCTACGTTCGTAAAGTGTCGCTGTTTCCTCCTACGGCCCTCGTCCGTTGGTTTATATTGTGAGAGATTAGCATATCGCTCGAGCTGTGAAGTTTAAAAGATTTCAGCTACATTGAAAGCGAGCATGGAGCACAGTATATCGTGCTTCCAACATACTCTGCGAAACGCACCAAAGTAGGCAACCGGTTCCGATCTTTGCTATATACATGCGCGTTTAATTGCCGCGGTTAAATATTTCCGAGTGTTCGATTCAACTTCGTTAACGCGGCCAATAAAACTTTATGGACTTAAACGGTGATATCGGCATGATTTTTGCGTTAACACATTGCGACGCGGTCGATAACCAAACCGGAATATTAATCATGAGAATAAATCATTCAGACACCTGTGCTTTATTTGCATCGAATATTCTCTACGGTGAATTTCTGTAGAAAAACAGAGACGTAAATAATCCAAGTAAGCTCGTTAGAAAATAGTACGCGTTTGCAGCGACTGCAACACAGACCCCTTTCGGAGGTGCGATCACCCTAGTGGTGTCGATGGACGCAGCCCGCGAGCGCAAACGTGTCCGATGTACTTGCCAGTCAGTGTGCTCCCTCTCTCTCACTCCGCAGTTCTCCCTCTTTCTCACCCCCACCTCTCACTCGCTCTTTTCTCTCTCACCTCAGTAGAAGTCTGCTTTTGTCCCTCTCTCGTCTTCGACAGCGAACACCAACGAAGAGATGTGTTCCAAGGTTCGGCACTCCCGTTCGCGGATACGACGCTTCTTCCTCTACAGCTAGGTTAATACCGAAGTGTGGCGAATGAGAAACGACAGTGATGCCAGGAAGAATGAGAAAAAAACACGTTCGAGTTAAGAAAGTTGAAACACGCGCCGAGCCACGTGGTCGCTGCTACCAGTACTTGCTAGTAACGGTACTTTTGGGTTATCCGATAACGGCCGGAGGGTTTCGAGCGTAAACGAGCGTAGTCACGAGCGCATACCTGACGAGCGCGACAGACCACCGACTGCACCGGATCGTGACGATCTAAAGGTTCCCGATAGATTACCGCGAAAGGCCGAGAAGGACAATACGCGACGACCGAGCGCGACGATAGCCGAGCAGAGGTTCAGTAGCCGCGGCAGCGGCGTGTGTACACTACTGCCGCTCGCACGGCTTCCCATACAACGTGCCAGAGCGAAGACACTGAAAGCTAAGAGAGAGAGGAACCGGCCTCTCGCGACTGTGTCGCCGCGTCTCCGTCTCGACCAACTTCTACTACCAGGCGCGGCACTGCACCGTGCGCACGATACCGACGCGTCACTGCTCGGGAATGTCACGTCTAATTAAGTGCTGTTTCTGCATCGGTCGCTATTATTACCGATCGGTGGTGATTGCACGCTCACGCGTATCCGCACCGCGCTACGCGGCCGATGCGTTGTGTGCGCGCCCAGCTTGTACGTACACTCGTTATGGCCCCGTTAAATATTTATAATGAACCTATGTTTCCCGTGGTAGGAAAGACTTTCTTTAGTAACTGCAACGAAGTTTTTGGGAATGGATTTCACAATGCAACGAGAGCTTAATTTGTTAGGTTGATTTCAAATGATGCGGTAAATATGATTCTGTTCAGTGAAGAATGGATATAAAACTCTTTATTTTCGTATTTCTATCTTTAGTTCTTACTGTGCAATTGATTAAACCAGCTTGGATATAAATACACGAATATTCGTGTTTCGTATGTATATACAATATAGATATACTTTTTAGTATTCTCTTTCTCATCATGTATGAATTGATATTTTTCATAAACTAATAACATTGTTCTATGAAATAATTCTAAAGGAATTTGTATGCATAAATGACAATCAATTTTTCATATTGAATTTTTTTTATAAAAAATTGTAATAAAAAGAATTGTTGACCAGGAAAAATTTTCAATCGTTATGTTTTATCACTTTTTAAATATATGTAATTCAAAAAGTATTAATTTCTATTAATAATTCTAATAATAATAATACTACATGATATCGATATCATATGACGTATTTTACATTGTATATAAAAACAGAGCTAAATACAGAATTATGATAATGCAGAATTTTGAATTATATTTTAACACGCCTGTCACATTCATAATACAGGAACTTGTTGAGTAACTGCTAGGTCGGTAAACACGATCTTCGTTATGCCGGTGGACCGACGTAGGAAAACCGTATCACCGGTTATCAATAAATAGTTAACATTAGCAAACAAAAAAAACACCGAATTTTACTTGATGGTAAATGCATTCTTTAAGATTATCATTTTGTTTTATAGTGCAGTAACGAATTTTTAATTATTACTGATAATTTTATTTTTATCCTTTCTCGTCGATGCAGTTTTTAATTACGAAAAATTGCAATTTGTTCATATTACTGGGAAAGAAATTAAATATGCAGAAATATGAAGAATACACATATATAAATTCTATTTATGTAAAAAATTTTACAAACTATCAAAAATAATTAACGAGAAGAATAATGAAAATATTACTCAAGATATACATTAATGAACAATTACGTACATACGGCTGTTGTTTTTGCATCAGTTAAATTATATTTATTGAAAATAAAAAAACGACTAAAAATATTTCTCGATGTTATCCATGAATAAATTGATACAAAATCGCGAAATCCGGGTAAACACTTTGATTTATTGAATATTTTAATATTTAGAACAAAAGTATCGGTGCATGACAGACTGCATGTGAACTTACCTTTATTTTGCGGTGGTGTCCTCCGCATCTCACAGGGGGCTCCACTGTCCTCAGCAACGTGCGGTGCAGCGGCTGGCGCACTTCCGGTCGTACGTTGCTGCTGCTGTTGGAATTGAGAATGGTGATGTTGGTAAAGCTGTTGTTTCTGTTGTTGTTGTTGCTGCTCCTGTTCTTGTTGTTCGTTTGACGGCGCTGATGCGCTCGTTTCAGCCGGAGAGCATGGGCTATCAGGGGTAACTGTTGTACTTTCATCAGGTGAACTCGCACCTGTAATATCTGTAGTCACAAATAAAACAGAAATAAAGGCTTATGGGCGTGCTCTCCCGAGAATTTTTCGAAATGTATTAAACGTCTGGGTATCGATAAAAATATGACTGAGAATACGGAAATTATGGAACTGTGGCTCAAGGTAAATGTTCAGTACAACACACAGCGTTTTCTAATATTTCGGTTTTACTTGTTCAATTTTCTAAAAGAACTGACATCTCGCTTGTATTAGCTGAATATTTTCATTCCACTTAATGTCTACAGTAGTTTACAAACACACTATGAAGAACACTCAGAGTACGGAAGCTTGGCACATGGAATTTTCAATCTCGACAAAACAGTTACACACACCAAACACACGTTTTAGCCTGAGACATCTGACTAGTATCTTCACGATTTAATGTGTATATGTACATCTAAAAGAGATTGCAGTTGTTCCTTCTCTCACCCGTTTCGTTAATACAGCCTTATGTGGGGTACATGCGTGATTAAGCGACAATTAATTGGTAAGAGACAGCTTCTTTCGCGAGCAGAGGGATTTCGCAAGGTCCGACAAGAGTTTTGACGCTTCAAAACGTGACGGACGTGTTATCATCATTCCCGGTGTCTTCTAAACCTCGACGTTACAGGGCGGCACTGAGTCTTTCGTTTCAACTCATTCCCACAAGCGCTTTTGACTGTATTGATATTCGATCACGTTTTTTTTCTGCAATAAACAGGTTCCTTCTCGGTTTCCTTTTTTCCTTGCGGGACCAATTGTCACGCCGATCTTGACGATTCAAAGGCAGTCAGGGCGACATCTGTCGGTCCGCCGAGGGAAAGTCCGTACGCGTACGTGCTCGACGTGCACGCGAACACGGCCCCTCGCGAACTAGAGGCCATGTTGCGTCGCTATGTCGACGATTGGCTCCGCCTTACCCCGCGTCTCCCCACCAACGGCGAGCCACGAACGCTCTTTTTCGCCAATGGGACGCAAGCTGATCCCGCCAACGACATTGTCGGTCGTGCGCTCTACAAGACGGTCCGTAAAACCTACGCTCGCTGTGTGTATGTTTGTATGTAGCAGTCTACACAGTGCTAGAAAGCGCACAGCTGTGTGCCGACACTGATGCTCTGTATGCAAAGGTGTGCACATCTTATAGCTATATCGTGTGTCTACACATGTGTCAGTGACAGCATTTCCTCACGTGCCGCTCTTGCGCTCAGCTCAGCACACCAGTCGCATTATCGCTTACTTTCCGAGCGTGTCCGCGCGCCCCTGCACTAAATAGAGCCGTAGAAGGGTACAGGCATTCACTCATGTAGCAAAGAGAAGCGCAAAAACTTTGTAGTTTTTCGTAGAATCGAAAAACTTATTTTCATCAATGAGGAGTTGAGAGGTTAGGGAACGAACAGATATTGCGGAATTTCCTCTCTTTCTTTTTTGCATAATCCGTAAAACGAATGAGACTATGGAGTTCGGAAGCTACCCCGCCAGTGCAATCAAATTTGCATCTTTATAATTTTTGTTGAACGAATATTTTGTTATTTGCAGTGTAAAATATTTCCTATTTTGGGTAAAGGAAGATTTGGAAGCGAGTTAAGTATTCTTGCATTGAAATACTATTTTTCGTACTCTCAATAAAGTGCAATATTTCTTATTTAAAATCAAGTAGTATAAATGGTTCTTTTTTCCTACACCAACGTTACGTATATACTTAGAATAACTGTTAAAATACGAAATTTTCTTCTTTACAATTCTTTCGACATGAAGGCCACTATTTTGCAAATGTAGCTTGCAATTTATTTATTGCAACGTTACAAGCATCGCGTAACGTCTCTTTGATCGATGATTGGTTCTGTAAATTGGCCAGACTGTAGCCAGTGTAATAAATCAAGATGGCCGTGCGCGTCTCCCAAAAACGGAAGGGTCGCCGGCGAAAAACAAGCCGTTCAGGAGACGGTGGATGAAATCAGCGATATTTACAGTGGTCACGTTCGAAAGGATACGAACAGTGCGTGGCGAGGTTAAATGAGATGTAGGGAAGAAGGAAGCAGGAAACGGGGAACAAAGAAAGTGTAGAACGGCTGGAAAAGTGAAAACGTGATTCGGTAGAACGACGGGCTAACTGCCATGGGGAGAGAAGACTGGCGTGCACGGTCGACGTGTGGCTTACTGGTGAACGCGAAAGGGACGAGACATGTTCTCAGGGTATTTACACACATGAAAAGCAACGTTTGCTTTAAAGGAGATAGACTAGCATGATTGTCGCGGTCACCTTGTTTTTTCCCCTTGATTACCGATCTCAAGTGTCACGAGTCACTCGTCTCATGGACGAACATGGCAAAGATGGAAGAAAAGTTAGTTTCTTAACAATAGCATTTTCGCAATGTCGACCTCTCCTCCCTCTCTTCCACTCTTTCTCTCATCATGTAGCAAGCATCAAGATACCGTGGTTCTCGTAAACGTTACAATTGAGCGTTCTTGTGAAATATGGAATTTATCAACATTTTAGGGAACATATTTTTTTTCTCGAGAATGTCTAAATATTGCAGCGAGCAGATGGTCTGTAGACTCTTTTATCAGATTCATATTCTTGTCTGATACCTTTTTTTCTGTTTTGTTTGCAATACTGTGACGTAAAGTTTTAATATCGAACCGTACAAAATATGTTTTTTTTACTTTACGTAACATACATACTTTGCACATTTCTTTTAAACATGAAAAAAACTAACTTCTTTTATGACAGTTTGTTACGTAGAGTACTCTGTTTTTTAAAAGTATTAGGTAAAGAGTAATTAAGCCAGTCAAAAACATGCGTCACATATATGCTACCCACTGATCAATTCTAATCAACATAGATATTTCAATTTTTATACTTATAGTATATACAAAACAATATTTCTTTAACGCGATTAATCGACACAACATTTTATTAGGCTTTTAAAATAGTTTAGACATAGCACAAAATAAGGGACAAATGAAATGTCTCCAGTTTTACAACTTAGCCATTTTCATGATTTCAGCAGTACACGTGCAATCTCTATCAAACTCCTTATTTTCGTCAAAACGTTAAATCTACCGACCAAATCCCTCTATTTGAGGAATAATAACAGACAGAATCGTTTCCAAGAATCTGCGTATGCTCCTTCTCTCTCTTTTTCTATCTAGCCACAGGAAAAAGACACGACACACTCGAGCAGTCGATGCTCGCGCAGCACATACACACCCGAAGAAGGGCCGAATCGAGCATCCTGTGGGCTGTCATGTAAACTCGTGTTGCACGGTCCTTGTCGAGAAGTTGCGACATTCGTCGGTTTTCTTCCCGATCGATATCTCTGCCGTTAGAAAAAAGGTGGTCATTTACGGCCAAAGATGGAACACACACATCGTGTTTCCAAGATCTGCGTATCTATTTTCGTACCCTCTTTACGTACACGTGTTTCACGCGTGGAACAAAATTTCTCGTATTACGGTCGACTTTCAACGAAGCAGCTACATCCCTACCACTCGAAAAGTACAGAAAATCGCGAATAGGCGAACAGCTGATGGCACACGGGCAACAGGAGAAATCCTTGAGCAATTAATATCGAACGGTAAACGTCGTTCAAGGTTCGCATTTGAAATTTTCAGCTGATACGTTTTAACGATAAAGGTGAACTTGATAATTTCGCCGTGTTCTCAATGATCGCCGGCTGGAAAATGTAGAAGCATTCCAATTTAACGGATTCGAGCATTCTGTAGAAATTTAACGTCAACTTGAAGTAGACTTATTAAAGAATATATCAGTTTGTAATAGTGTTATGGAAAAAATTTTAACTAAGAAACTACGTTACTCAAGTAGTCAACTGAAACCCGAATTTTTAACGCGAGTGCATTCCTCGAGTTTTCAGCGGTTTCTAGAGAGGAAAATTTCAAGATTGATTCAAAAGGATGACGTGGAAAGTTTTACAGAATATTTGCTCAAATTATGAAAGGTGTTGGTATTAAGAGAATTCGTTGATTTTTATTTATAAATTGCAAGTAAATAGTCTTAAAATGTAATCTTAATCTAAACTGAAGGGATAAAGAATATCGTAGCTTCGCTATACTATAACCCTGTTAAAATATGCAATTTCACCACATTTAGCATTAATTGATCTTGGCATTAAATCGTGCAGGCTGTCTCACGCGAAACATTTCCTTCTAAATTGCTTTCTTCAGAATTATCACAGTTTAAATTGAACCGGTTGAGGCATACGAGGTATTCAAATTATTTTCTTAAGAACCACTACCAGTCAGGAGACAAAATTCTTTCTTTACTACAGGTACTTTCCGAGGTCCTTTTTGGGATATATGGAGTGCCTTTGCCTGACTCCTTCAACAAAGGAGGGCCACTCCCTCCTATATTTCAAATAAAATGAAACACAGATTTTTCCAATTTCCAAATAATTTTTAAAAAAGTATGCAACATTTACATGCGTGAAAAACAAGAATCTTAAAGTCTTACAAAAAGGACCTCAATCAACTTTGAAGTATAAAAAAAAAAAAAAAGAAGAATCTTTTCGTCATTCTAACTAATGCTTCGGTAAAAAGTTCGCACGGTCACTTTAAGTGCTTAATCCTTTCAGCGTGCTTGTTAATTCCGAAAAAAGAAAACTGAAACGCGAAACGAGACTAACGCACGCTTCAATTCAACGAAACAGCTTCAATTTTCTACAACGACTCGTGAAACATGTTACTTTCAATATACACCAAAAATACAAACGGAAGATTCTATTGGTAAGTTGATTGCATCAGACGGAAAGAAACGAACAACACAATTCGAAGAACCTCGAGGAGACGAGAAGTTCAACGTATTTCATAGGTTTACGGTTTCCCATAGAACACTGGAAGGTCAAACTTGCAGGAAAACGATCACATATAGGAAGCAGACGGCGGTTTTTTTCTTTTGTTTTTTTCCGTGCACGTGCACGGTTCTTGGTAAAAACACTGGCTTAGTCTGGATATTTCTTAAGAAAATTTTAATGTTTTAAGTGAATTTTTGTCGACAACCTTCTGCTACCTCTCAGACAATTTTGTTATTTCATTCTTAAGAACTTCTAATATTTTTTCAACAAAAAATTACTCAGTAAATTCTGCAGGTTTTTACATTTATATAGAATAACATCAAAAATAACATAAATGGCCATTGTGGAAAGAAGAGAGAAAAGAAAAATATGGTAATAAATTTTCTAACGAAATAACACAATTCAGTTTTTCCATTTTTTTTTTTTTTCACAAATGATCCAAGTAAAATTATCTATACGATGAATATCCTCACATGTCACAATACTAATGCCACAGTAACAGAAAAAATGAAAAGACTTTTGGATCACGCCAAACCGACATCGTGATAAACAAGCCTCTCATTCTTTGAGTGGTCTATCCGCTTTAAGGACACGGGCGGCGCCCTATACCGCCTCCTCCTCGTCGTCTGATCACGATGAAAACTGCATTCGCTTTAATTACATTACACTGGAGATTCAAGTTCGAAACTTCGGGCCAATTACGTCCAACGATATATAACTCGAAGAAATAACGCGAATTCTCTGACCATTCGCGCCTAAATACACGGAACAAAGAGTAAATCCCATATCTTTCTACGTATTTTTTCCCAACATTTCCTACACTATCCGTTATTTCATATCTTTTCACCTTCATAATCTGTTTAACTTCTTTTTCCAACATATTCATTGTTAAAGCGTATTCATATTTTTCTTTCTTATTTTTGACACTGTTAAGGTTAGGTTTAAAAACTCCTTGACTATACCTCACCTCGTCGTTATGCGTATTCTTTTATAATATTCCCCTATTCATAGTTTGCAGCGTTATAATAAATATAACAGAAAGAAATGTAAAAATATGTATCATATCAAAGTTTCATAAAATCAAAAAATTTGGGTAAAAAATAAATTCTCGTTGATTTATATATACCTGTATACGTATGTTATATAAGTATATACGTATATAGCGGATACCATGTTTTTACGTTGTGTCATTTCGAGATGTA